ATGGAGCGCTATTATACCCTCCGACGATGATTCGCATACATATATTAAGCGTAATAGAATAATAATGTATCCATAGTAATGTATGTAGCCCATTTTTTTATCACTGAAACTTTCTTTCCTTCGTAATAATATGTATACCACTTTCAAATCCCACCATCCACACATCAACCCCTAACTTAATCTTTTTTTAATCCACTGAGCATCGTATCAATGGACCCATAGACTGCTAAACTAATACTTAGCGCTGGATATTTGTTGCGAAAACAATCGCTAAAAAAATACGAAAAGTCGGGACGACTTTTTCAACTAGAGGGGGCGAGTCATTATTATTTAACGCATACCAACCCATATGCAGCCAGCCTCGCACACATGCAAGCAAAAAATCTCATTTAAAACAGCTCTCTACGTCTATGGCATGAGGCAAATACGTCCATTGGACAACACTTGCAAACGATGCTGGGATAGCTTCATCGAAGATATGATAATAAATGTATTACTGGACAATGCCGAATTCATTTCCAAAATCACCATCAAACACGAAGCAACGCCAGCAGTAAATGTAACCCTTAGAAACTTAAACAGCAGCCTTTAGCATCGTAAAGTAAGAAAATTCATAGAACACCCCGAATGGGATCGAGCTAAAATCCGTGAACGAGAGCAAGCCACGATCAGTACAGCTGGTATAACATATGCCGGTCTTTTAGAGCGGTTTGCATTGGGAGGAAAGGGTTACGAATGTCTTGATACTTCTCAGTGATGCAAACTTTGTCTCCTTGACATTAAACCCTGGAAAGACTGCTGCGCATGTACCATGCACTATTTCCAAGGTAATGGAGACGACACCATTGCAAGATGCCAGCTTGAGTGCTCAAACCCAGTACACCACCAGAACTTACATAATGATGTTTGCCGTTACTGTTAGTCCACTTTGAATAAATTTGACTCCAACATCGTAGTCTAGCAATAACCACCTTTATTTTCTCCTACCATCCCGTCTGAATGTCATTGTTACTGCCTCTTTACTCCATTAACGTAATAACATAGTCATCTACTGTAAGAATAATTTTAAGAAATCATACCGACAACAGAACTTAAACGCATTTCTGATAGCAAGAAAAAAAAATTCTATTGCTTAGATGTTAGCTTTAAATACAGTTGTAGCTAATAAATAAGAAATAAAAAAAATAAAAAATTAATAG